GAATGATGAGATGTCAAAGTCCCCTGTGGTGACTCCAGCCTGCTTCAGATTCACTGGGACTTCAGATCTGTCACCTCCACCACCCCTATGTCAGTGCTTCCCCAAGCAGTGTCTGGGACCTCTGGTCCTGAATTTCCTAAGGACACCCCCCCCCACTAAAAAAAACTGAGCCCATTGCCAGTGGGGTGATTCTGACTCACAGTCAACCCAGGGAGAGGGTAGACCTGCCCCGTGGAGTGCCAGAGGCTATGTTTACAGGAGCGAGAAGACAGCCTCATCTTTCTCCTGTGGAGCCAACTAGTGGATTCAAACCACTGAACTCATGGTTGGCAACCCACCGCTTAACCCGCTGGGCCAACAGGGCTCCCGCACCCACGCCAAAATTAAAAAAAAACCAAACTCACTGCCGTTGAGTCAATTCTGACTCAGGGACTGTAAATCTGTTCAAACCCAAAGCAAACTCACTATTATCGAGTGGATGCTGACTCATAGTGGCCCTATAGGACAAGGTAGAACGGCCCCTGTAGGTTTCTGAGACTGTCACTCTTGGCAGGAGTAGAAATCCCCATCTTTCTCCCCCAATTGGTGGTTTCAAACTGCTGACCTTGTAGTTAGCAGTGCAGCACGTAACCATTACTCCACCAGGGATTCGAGTCAATCCTGAATCCGCTAGTGGGATTAAAAGGGACATAGCAACAATCCCATGCGAGCAGGAATGCTTCCTCCTGGCCACTGGGTGCCTGCCCAAGTGGGTGCCTGCCTGGGTAGGACCACACCTCAGCTCTTGAATACCCCCATTCCCTTCCAGGTCTCTTGGTCCGAAGGGAGGCAAGACAATGGGGGTGCTGTTCATCAGGGCCTAGAATCTCACCCTAGCAGCTTCCTACCAGGCCGTGGCGGGCAGCTAGACTATTCGAAATGGAGGGGCCCCTGGTCCCCACAGCATGCCCAACTCAGAATGTCTCCTCAGCTGCCCCCAACCACAACCCTACTGGGGGCAGGGAGGGACCACACAGACTCTGCAGAAGGCAAACAGACTGACAGACACGGGCAGAGCCACAGACAGACAGACAATCACTCGTCACATATGCAAAGCTGGCACACTCAGTCCCAAGTGTCCCAGGGTGCTAGGCCATTAGGCCGGGGCTGGGGGCCTTCAATGACCCCTCCGGGAGCTGAGGGCGCTGAGTAAGCAGCCAAAGGGAGAGGCGATAGCCACAGGCGGCCCAGCAGGCCTGACCCCACCCCATCCAGAGCCCCAGCAGACAGAGTGGGTCCGAGTGGCCAAGGAGGAGGTCAGCAGGGGCAGAGGAGAAACCCGAGGAGGAGGCATCCCGGAGGCCCTGATGGAAGGCCACCATAGACCCTGTGGGCAGAGCCGGCCCTACCTTCCCGCCAGCCTCAGAGCCCAGGCTGCCAGCAGCCTCCCAGTCTGGCTTCAGCTCCCAGGGGTCTTGGGCGGGCGGCAGCCCCCGCTGGGCCATATCCTCAGTGCAGGTGAGCTGCCGCCGCTGCAGCTCCGCGTCCGTCTCCTCGTCCACCACCAGCAGTTGCGTGTGCCCCTCCACGGCCTTGATCCTCTGCACCACCTGGCCCGGGTGGGTGGCGGGACCCGGTCAGCAGCCAGCACACGGATGGCGGCAACACCCAGGGCTGGCTGGGCCGGCCCGTGTGGGTGGCTGGCTGGACCGAGAGGCCTGTGACCCCGCCCCCCACCCCCGGTTCCAACAGCACTTTCCCTTCTTCTCCCAGGGCTGTGTCAGTCTGTCCGGCAATAAGACGGCACAGGTCGGCATGTGTGCACACTTGCATTCCTCTGTCTGTCCTGGAACCTGTGTCTGTGTGTCTATCTATCCGTGTGTGTGTGTGTGTGTGTGTGTGTGTAGACACACGTGGATCTATCTGTCCCAGCGTCTGTATACGTGTGTCCATCTGTCCCAGGATGGTGGTGGTGGTGGTGGTGGTGTGTGTGTGTGTGTGTGTGTGTGTGTGTGCCTCTATGCATCCATCTGGCCCAAGGCCTGTGTGTATGTATCCCTCTGTCCCAGGGTGTGTGTGTGTGTGTGTGTGTGTGTGTGTGTTTCCTTGTATCTATCTGTCCTAGGATTTGTGTGTACATGTGTCCATCTGTCCCAGAGTGTGTGTATGTGTGTACTTCCAAGCATCCATATGGCCCAGGGTCTGTCTTACCGTGTGGGGAGGAGGAGTGGTAATCTCGGGCCCCAGTCTGGACCCTTTCTGTCTCTCCCATCAATGGAGAATGAGTGTCTTCCCTTTACCTCCAGATGCTAAACTTGAACCTTTTCTTGAAGGGTGCAGGGAGGTGACAAGACCCTCACTCCCAGCTGGGTGCTTAGATACCCTGCACCACCTGGCCAGTGGGGTGCAGCCCCAGCAGGTGGAGGCAGGGAGAGGCTTACACCCCTGTGGGCCAGGTGTGGCAACACGCCGTCTCAGTGCAAGACCATGTGTGTGCCTATGCCTGAACCTGGGATGTGTGGGCAGCGGGGGGCATGCCTGCCAGGGTAAAACTACATGGGGTGGGGCAGTGTCCACTCTGAAATTGAGCAGCAATCCTACCCCACCATGTCCTAGGTAGGGGGAAGGGAGAATATTGTCAACTGGTGAATTGGATCCAAGCCCTTCTCCCCATGATCCAGAGCCAAGGGGCACCTCAGAACCCAGGGGGCACCCCAGAACCCAGGTGAGATGCTCAACACCTCCAAGCCTCAGTCTCCCCATCTGTAAAATGGGAACACCTCTCCACTCCTACACCTCCTGGCTGAGAGGGCCTCTCATTCTGTGGGTGAAATTCTTAAGGACTAGCATCAGAGAAGTTCAAGGTGGTGGCCTGGGGCCAAGGGCAGTCCACTACACAGAGACCAGCCACCAGTTCTCCCAGCTGCCCTGCCCACAGCCAGCCAAGACAAACGCTCCAGCCACTGGCCCCCACCCTGCTTCTGCAAACAGCCCAGTTCATTAGACGCTCAAGCTGGGACGGGGCAGCAGACAGGTGGACAAAAAAGGACCCCCTTGCTCATCTCTGGCCTTCTGGGGCTCCCCAATGTCTGAGAGGAAGGGGTGAGGAAGGAACACAGTCACATCTGCAGGGGGGGCAGTCACCCACCAGGGCCAAGACACACTGCGCACACAGGGCCCTATGGCTTTCGGGGTGCGGGTGAAGTGGCAAGTAACCCCTGGGGTGAGTGTCATGGAAGCTAAGGAAGGTCCTGCCGGCACAAGTGTGGACATAGCCCAATGCCAGGCACGGCCCAGCAGGGAGCAGCACCTGGAGGGTAGGCACAGCCCAGCGCAGCTCACACTCTTCACACCCAGCACGGCTCACACACACTCTGACAGCCCAGCTCACACCCCCAGATGCACACACCCAGGTGTGCATACCTGCGCAGCTGTGCGCACACACCGTCCAGCATTCCTACGGGCACACAATGACGCAGGCACACACATATGTTCACATGCCCCCTGGTACACACGCAGGCTGCTATGTGCACACTCACATGAACACCCGGCCCAGCGCGCGCACACACACACAC